TATGTTATGATTATAAAAAATCTAATCTTTTCAACTTACATCGTTGCAGGAGAATGTTGTTGAAGGAAAAATATTTCAGAATCATGTAGAAAAATTTGAAAGTATATTAAACGAGGGAGATGTATTTTTAATCAGACATTTCAAGATTCTACCAAATAAAAATATATACAAATTAACGAACAATAAATTTCGTATTTATTTTACGGAATATACTATTGTTGAAAAGATTGTTATAACTACTTATAGTATTGCCAAAGAGAAATTTCGAATATGTTTATACGGCGATTTGTTGGCATTGGCGGACAAAAAACAAGATCTACCAGGTATGTGATATTATAAAAAATAAAAAAAAATATATTGGATTTTATAATTAATATATTTGCTAATGTTACAGATGTTATTGGAGTTTTAGTCGCAATACAAGGATCAAATTTACGAATGTCGTCATCAACTCAGAAACTTATTCTCCGTTTATTATTAGAAGAGTAAGTTTTAAAATTTATTTACATTGCAAGTAATGTCATTTTAAATTTTTTTAACTTAATTAGTTTTATACATATTAACATATAATTTTAATATAAAAACCAGCAACAATATCGTCAAGCTTTCCGTATGGGATGATTTCGCCGCAGAACTCCGTTCACAAATACATAGATTGAATATCAGAAAAAGTATCATAGTTGTTACGGGTGTAAATCCAAAGATTATCGACGGTAATTATTTAACACAAATTAATTTCTAAATATTTGATAGATTAATATCTAAAAACCATTATCATGGTTATATTATGTTTACTAATATATTTTACGTATTAGGTGTTCTATCGCTAAATACATCAACGTCTACAAAGATTTATATAGATGAAAAACTCAACATTATCAAAAATTTCCGTCTAAGGTAAATAAATTATATCATTTTTGAAAAAATCTATTATTATAATATTTACATGAATAATTTTATTATTACTTTACAACTGAATTTTTTGCAGACATTGAAGGAAAGTCACACCAATATTGAAGACAACCATAACAAATCGGTTACATTGAGTCGATAAAATATCTATGTAGCGATGTCAATATTCTATCATTGATTTAATTATGTTTGCAAAAATATAATGATGTTTTTATATTGTTAAAGTTTTCTATTTTTATTTAGTCCAACTTAAACAACTCATCTATCTTATAGTTTTACTACATTCATATTAACAAATCATATTTTTATATCTGAAAAAAATTTCTATAATTTTATAATAAATGTGTTGGGGTGATGTTTGAGTTGAGTTTATATATGGATATAACATACAAATTAATTAAACCAACCAAGCATAACAACTTTGACCCTTTTTGTAGTTATACAATTTTGAGATACGGTATCCTTGAAAGACAGGAAAATGTTATCACTTATTACGCACCGACATTTTGGTTATATATCAAATTGATCAAATTCAATATCAAGATTGGTGAATAAATATACTTGGTGTAACATATGTATATTTTTTAAATTGCTAATAGTAATTCACAATTATCTATCTATCTTTTCTATAGACCTTTGTTTTTTTCTTTCTAAAACGATATAATATAAATAAGTATATCTTATTTAAAATCAATTTGATTGAGTAATCAATAGACAAATATTATATTATATTATAAAATTTTCTATCACGGTAGCTTATGAAATGATTCATGATCCACCACCTTAATTTATTTTTTTTATCAAAATTAATTAGAATTTGCTCTATATCATTGTTGATGAGAAGTTTCATTCTCCTCTCCATCCAATAAGACTAAATAATGCTCGACCGCAATAAGGAGAGGGAAAGGCCAGAGGGGCGAGCACAAGGTTGAACAAAAAATGTCACTTTCTCTCTCTATATCTATACATGTATCTATATTCATTTTACACAGTTTAATTATGTATTATTATTGTTGTTGTATTGAAATAATAATATTATAATTAGGGGAAAATGTTTTGCTTCTTTAATTGATTCCAAAAAATCTTTTTATATATGTTTGAAAATAAATAAAAAACAGCAATATAAAAACTAAAATGTGTAAGAGTGTGTTAGGTGTCTATGTGTTTTTATTTTGAAATAGAGATTTATCGGATCAGATTTTAAAATGTATACTCTAAGTGAAATATCCGTCGGATCAAATTATATGAGACGATAATAGATCTGTTACGAGTTGTGAAAAATCAGATAAAACAAATTGAGATGATAACTAAATTTATATTGTTGTTTAAAATTATATTTTAAAACTTTCAATATTTATATATTTTTAGATATCACTCGATTTGCAAAAAATTTATAGTTATAAAATTTAATAAAATATTACTCTGATATACAACGGTTCTATATTATAGATCGAAAAAAAAAATATCATCTCTCCACCTCGATATTTCTATAAAAATGAAATATATTACATTTAAAATTAAAATTAATAATAAAATTATTAAAAATCTATATATATTTTTATTCCGCGCGATTCGCGCGGGTAAATACCTAGTAAACAAAAAAAATAAACCCCTACTATCATTATAGATTGTGATGTATGATTTTGATATTCTCGATCAAACTAAATAATAGTATTCTACATCTCTTGTCGCGTAATAATAATAATAATAATAATAATAATCTATAATATTATACGTGTTTTAATAACAGCAATCAATTTGGCTTAGCGGTACCATCATAATGTTGCACGCAAATTTCGCTTATATTCCCAATGCTCTCTCGGACTGTCGGTCCATGCCAAGTCAAAGGACGGTTTTAGACAACTTTAAATTATATTGGATAGAGCCTTTGACGTCCACCTCGTAAATAAAAAACATGACTATGATTCCCTTCGCGGGCCAGATCCTGGCGGGTAAATCCCTAATTTTGTAGAATGACCCTTCAATTTTCCCGCTACCCTTTTGTCTTTTTCCATGCAAATAGACGACTGAGAGGAGAGAGATTCAACTTTAACTCCGTTTTTTTTCTTTTTGTTTTAAAATCTCCCCTTCTCAATACCAACAAATTAGTGTCTTTTTTGTTTTGGTATTTTGCTCCTCACATGCTTCGGAGCAGGAAAAAAAAGTTCCTCTTTTTAGTTATCGTCGTCACTGTCGTTCGTTAAAGTAGGGTTTTTGTAAAGACCTCTCCTTTTTTTCTTTCATTGAACTGCTACAGCGACAGTCAAGGTTTCGGAAATGACCCACTAGATATTTCAGTAGCCAAGTCCACTGTGGTAAGCGATAATCCCTCAAGCTCCAATCTTTCTAGCTTATATTGCATGGGCAAGAAGACATTGATTTTGCTTCGAAATTTATGTTTTCTTGCGTTTTCTACCGACATCGTTGTTGCAATGAAGTGTCTTTCATGGCTGTAAGATAAAGATGCTTCCTTTTTTAACTCTTTCTAGGGTTAGATCTCTGAATGGGACCCGTATTGAAAATGGTCCATTGTTCATTTAATGTTTCAGCTAAGTTGATTTGGTTCAAGATTGTTCCTTCTATGAAGCACTGTGCATTTTGATTGGCTGGCATTGTAGAAGAGTAGTCCTTCAAGGTAAAATCCCTCCAACTCCCGGTTTTTTCTGAGTAAAATCTCTGTATGCTGGCTATTTCCGCGGGGGGGAAATTGTAACTTAGTAGGAAAGTGGTTCGGCTTTGTCTTTTTTGTTAGGTTTTTTCTCGGATTCACTTGGGTTAAACGTTTCTGCTGCAAATACTGTGGCTCGGGTTAGAAATTCAAGGGCAAGGATGAAGCTATTTAGGGTTTTGCTGCTATCCATGTTTTTCCTGTCCGCAATGGGGCAACTTCCTTCACAGGACATTTTGGCATTGCTTGAGTTCAAGAAAGGGATCAAACATGACCCTACAGGTTATGTTCTCAATTCATGGAATGAGGAGTCCATCGATTTCAATGGTTGCCCCTCCTCGTGGAATGGCATTGTCTGCAATGGTGGTAATGTGGCTGGTGTTGTCTTGGACAACTTAGGTCTGTCTGCTGATGCCGACCTCAGCTTGTTTTCGAACCTGACCTTGCTCGTCAAACTTTCTTTGGCAAACAACTCCATTTCGGGAGTCTTACCAGATAATCTAGGTGATTTCAAAAGCCTCCAGTTTCTGGATTTGTCTGATAACCTGTTCTCCTCATTGTTACCGAGTGGGATTGGTAAATCAACCAGCTTGAGGAATCTTTCGTTAGCAGGAAACAACTTTTCTGGTGAGATTCCCGAATCCATTAGCGGGTTGATTTCACTTCAGTCATTGGATTTGAGCCAAAACTCCTTATCTGGGTCTTTGCCTAAGTCCTTGACAAGGCTGAATAGTCTGCTCTACCTGAACCTGTCTTCTAACGGATTCATGGGGAAAATTCCAAGGGGCTTTGAGCTAATTTCAAGTCTTCAAATACTTGATTTGCATGGAAACTCAATTGATGGCAATCTTGATGGAGGTTTTTTCATGATCACAAATGCAAGTTACATAGACTTTAGTGGAAACAAACTTGTGACATCTGGGAAACTATTACCGGGCCTTTCTGAGAGTATCAGGCACTTAAATCTCAGCCACAATCAGCTTCAAGGTTCATTGACCAGTGGAGGGCTTCAGTTGTTTGAAAACTTAAAAGTCTTGGATCTTAGCTACAATCAGTTATCTGGAGAGTTACCGGGTTTCAGTTTTGTGTACAATCTTCAGGTGCTCAAGCTTAGCAATAACAGATTTTTGGGCTCTGTTCCCAATAACTTGTTGAAAGGTGATCCTTTGCTTTTAACCGAGCTGGACTTGAGTGGCAACAATCTTTCAGGTATGTGCTTCACCGACCTTTTAGGTGTTTTGGATCTTTCTTCCTCTATCTGAAATCTGGTTTTGAATTTGTTTTTGTATGTTTCAGGGCCTGTAAGTGCAATCTTGTCAACAACTCTTCACTCCCTTAATCTTTCTTCGAATTTACTTACTGGAGAGCTTCCTCTCTTGACTGGGAGCTGTGTTATTCTCGATCTCTCAAACAACCAGTTCGAAGGAAATCTAACAAGGTGGGCGAAATGGGAAAACATCGAGTATCTTGATCTCAGCCGGAATCGTTTTGCGGGCTCAATCCCGGACATAACTCCCCAGCTTTTGCGTGCAAATCATCTCAATCTCTCTTACAATAAACTCACAGGCTCACTTCCAAAAACTATTCCTTCCCATTATCCGAAACTTAGGGTTCTTGACGCAAGTTCTAACAGCTTAGATGGTTCACTCCCAAGTGAGTTACTGTCCATGCCCACTCTGGAAGAACTCCACCTTCAAAACAATGTCCTGACAGGTGCTGTTCAGCTTCCACCTGCTTCTTCTGTTTCCAGAATCCGTCTTCTTGATCTTTCCCATAACCGGTTCAGTGATGAGTTTCCTGGTGAGTTTGGATCATTAACGGACCTTCAGGTGTTGAATGTCGCAGCAAATAATTTGTCTAGTTCGTTGCCGACTTCCATGAATGACATGGTCTCTCTGAGCTCATTGGATATATCTCAGAATCATTTCACAGGGCCTCTCCCAAGCAACTTATCAAGCAGCCTCGTGGCCTTCAATGCGTCTTACAATGATTTGTCAGGCGTTGTCCCAGAAAATCTGAGGAAGTTCCCTCCGTCTTCATTTCATCCTGGGAACAGCAAACTGGTTCTGCCTTCCGTATCTCCTGGATCAAATGCCTCTGAAGGTTCCAAGAGGAAACATATGGATAACCTCGTTAAAATTGTTATAATTGTTTCATGTGTTGTTGCTATAATTATTCTCATACTCTTCGCTGTTGTCCTGATTTGCATCTGCAAATCTAGAAGAGATCAGGAACATGGTGTTACCGGTAAAGAAATTCATAGGAGGGCTCAAACTAATCCCTCAGTCATGGCTGGAGCAGGCAGTGGAGGCGGTATGGTAGTTTCTGCTGAAGATCTTGTTGCTTCAAGAAAAGGTCCTTCATCCGAAATTCTCAGTCCAGATGAAAAGCTAGCCACTATAACCGGCTTCTCTCCTTCCAAGACCAGCAACCCATCTTGGTCACCTGGCTCAGGAGATTCATTTGCCGCTGAACAACAACTAGCACGGCTCGATGTTAGGTCGCCTGATAGGCTTGTGGGTGAGTTGCATTTTCTCGATGATTCGATCAGACTGACTCCCGAGGAGCTGTCTAGGGCCCCGGCTGAAGTACTGGGAAGAAGTAGCCACGGGACTTCTTACAGGGCAACTCTCGATAACGGGATATTCTTGACGGTGAAATGGCTAAGAGAAGGCGTGGCAAAGCAGAGGAAGGAGTTTGCCAAGGAGGTGAAGAAGTTTGCTAACATTAGGCATCCGAATGTTGTAACACTGCGAGGTTACTACTGGGGTCCTACTCAACACGAGAAGCTTATTCTTTCCGATTATATTTCTCCTGGAAGTCTTGCCAGCTTCCTTTATGGTAACATTCTTTCCTGTCTAAGTTATTTATTGTCCTCTGTCAACTTCATTTCAGTAGCAACGGAAAAATTATCACGGAAAACACGGAATGTATATTCAAGATTTAGTTAGGCCGGTTATGGGTATTGAACAATCATAGTGATGAGTTGCCTTAAAGCTGACACTTTTCCTTTCTGAACCCTCAGATCGGCCTGGCAGGAAAGGCCCTCCGTTGAACTGGACTCAGCGTCTGAAAATAGCAGTCGATGTGGCTCGCGGCCTTAACTACCTCCATTTCGACCGAGCTGTTCCTCACGGCAACCTCAAAGCAACAAACATTCTCCTAGATGGTCCGGAGCTAAACGCGCGTGTGGCTGACTACTGTCTCCACCGTCTCATGACCCCAGCTGGTACCGTCGAACAGATTCTCGATGCGGGTATCCTCGGTTATCGGGCCCCCGAGCTAGCTGCCTCGAGAAAACCGATACCCTCTTTCAAGTCAGATGTATATGCATTCGGGGTGATACTTTTAGAAATCTTGACCGGGAGATGTGCGGGAGATGTGATCACCGGGGAACAAGAAGGGGTCGATCTGACCGACTGGGTGAGGCTGCGTGTTGCGGAGGGACGTGGGACCGAGTGCTTTGACTCGGCACTGAGCCAAGAGATGGGCAGTAACCCGGGAGTGGAGAAGGGCATGAAGGAGGTTATTGGGATTGCCCTGAGGTGCATAAGATCTGTTTCTGAGAGACCAGGTATTAAGACCATCTACGAAGATCTTTCTTCCGTTTAGACATTGTTCCTGTTTCTTTTCTTTCTCTGTGATGTTCTTGTAGGGTTCAAGATTTGGTTTCTTGTTTTTTTTTCCCTTGTTCCATTGTCAAGTACATGCTTCGATTTCGGCAAGACATGTGCTTGGCTCAGGCAGTTCCAACCTTTTGTATGTAAAAAAAAAAAAAAAAAACTGAACCTGCTCCTGCGTGAACGGAAGAAATCGTTTGCTTAATCTAATCGATCCCAGTGATGAAGTAAAAGCAAATTCAATAACCGGTCAATGATAGCCGAACCGCTACTGTTGACGCTAAACCGGCTGCTGATTTGCCATATATAAGCTCTGCCCCCTTTTTTTACGAGTGTTTTGCATGCAAAAAGTTATTCTGAATGTGAGTCATTTTTTGAAGCCGATATATGAACAGGTCAAAAATATAAAAGAAATTGTTAGTGTGTGAAACTGAAATCGAAAGATGCGAGCGGTCGAAGAATCCCTCCACGCATTTCACGAGTGAGACTGGGCCCACCGCTTGTCGAAGTCACGCAGCCATTCCATGTGAATCACGACCAAACACTACCGATAGGAGTCCGTATTGTTTGCTTTTATATTCGCTTTCATGGAATATATCACCGTCTTCATTATACCATCTCTCATATTATAAAATAAAGTAGTTTGCTCACAAATCCTAGGTAATTAGGTGAGTCAACTTCTTACATATATATATATATATATCCTTAGTTTTGGTCATTAGGGTTTTTGTGTGGTATTAAATTATTATAATAATAACATATATATATATATATGGATACTCATTCCAGTACAAGTTCTTCAATATCCGACAGAAAAACAACTGAGAAAAACAGAAGGATTCAAATGAAAGCCCTCTACTCCGAGCTCAACTCTCTTCTTCCCGGTTTCCAAACTTCTAGGGTCTGTTCTTCGATCTTGTCTTAATTTATTTATGTCCACCTTCAATTTTTCTATTATATTGAATTCAACAACAACAACAAAAATGAGGTTACATATGCAAAAGTTTCCATCTATTCGTTCCTTTGTTAGAGCAGGAACCGTCGACAGTGGCTGATCAACTGGATGAAGCTGCAAACTACATCAAGAAGCTACAAGTGAAAGTGGAGAAGATGAAAGGGAGGAAGAGGAAACTAGAGGGTTTGGAGAGACGGGATCCTGTGTGCAGTGGATCACGGGAATCATCCGGTGTTGGACCAATAATTGAAATCCACGAAGTGGGTCCGATTCTGAATATCGTTCTTGTGACAGGCTTCCATCACAAGTTCTTGTTCTACGACATCCTCCGTCTTCTTACGGACGAAGGAACTGATATTGTTCACTCTTCCTTCTCCGTTGCTGACGACACTGCCTTCCACACTCTTCAATGCGAGGTATATGTATATATATATGTGTGTGTGTATGCATAGCTTAATTAAGAGATGACTGATGGGTCTGATGATACAAATCATATTTTTGATGTAATTATTGCAATAATTAGGTTATGCAAATTGGTTTAATGACCCTTGATTAGGTGGAAGAGTATGGTTATGGAGCCGGTGGAAGGATTTCCGAGAGACTAAAGAGGCTTGTGAACAATGTCTCTAACTAATTCAAGAAGTTCTCTTCAACGTTACGTCCTCTGCGTACGTATGTATTAGTTGTGATTTATATTTTTTCTTTTTGTTTTGTTAAATGGTTATATATATATATATACATACATGTGCCCGTGTGTGTGTGTAATATAAGGTATATATATGTCGCTCTATTCTTTTCGCATTTCCTTTATCGTAATTTCTCTTTTTATGATAAAGTTTGTAAGTTTCCCCGTGTATATACATGCACACACATGGATTATAAATTATAATATATATGGTGAATGTGTCCATTTAAACTATAGATTAAACCCCCCACAAACATTTTCCTATTTAACTCCATTATGTTCAAGCATAGATTAGGTACAAGATTTGATATACACATTTTACATTATGTGTATTATTTGTAATAAAGCATATCTTGACCGTCGTTTTGTTAGCACTCTATGGTACCTAAATTAATATAATCTTGATCATTTTAAATTTCAAGCCAAGCCTTTAAATATATATATATATTTCCTTATAAAACCTTAATTAAATTTGAACGAAGGGTGCCCCAATTCAAAAGTGACCCAATGAGCCTAACGATCCTTTACGCAAGCGGCAAGCCCAAGAACAAAATGTGCAATTACCTTTTTACCCCTTTCCCCAAATAACAAACTGGCCCAGTGAGTTTCATTTCATACCCGAATCTAGGGTTTTCTCTTCTCAAAACCTTCCACAGTTTCTCTCGACCAAAGCTTAGCAATGGTAGTCGATTCATTCGAAGTCGGTGTCGTTCCCTTCAACCCTGATGGTTGGGGTCCTCCCGACGCCTCATCTGATTCCGCCACTGCCACAGCTCTCGCCGCCGTGAATCTCCTCCCCAACGTCCCCTTCGCGTCCTTCTCTCGTTCGGAGAAGCTCGGTCGCGTCGCTGATTGGACTCGCGCTCTGGCCAACCCCTCCGCACGACCTCCAACCGGATCCAAATCTGATCCCACTGCCGTTTTCGATTTCTCTGCCTTTGCCGTCGACGACGCCTTCCCCCTCGCCGCCTCCGGCGGAAACCCTGATGAGGATTCCGCCTTCCGCCTCGTCGACGGGAAGCCTCCGCCACGTCCCAAGTTCGGACCCAAGTGGCGGGGCAATCAGCATCACAACCGGTCGCAGTTGCCGCAGCGGAAGGACGAGGAGGTCGAGGCCCGGAAGCGTGAGGCGGAGAAGGAACGTGCCCGTCGCGATCGTCTCTACAATCTCAAACGGAACAATGCCAATCAGCAGCGCCGTGAATCCGCGGTGTTCAAGTCTTCTGTGGATATTCAGCCGGAGTGGAACATGCTTGATCAGATTCCTTTCTCCACCTTCTCCAAGCTTTCGTTCTCTGTTCAGGAGCCCGAGGATCTCCTCCTCTGCGGTGGTCTCGAGTACTACGACCGTAGCTATGACCGTCTCACGCCTAAGAACGAGCGCCGTCTCGAGCGTTTCAAGAACAGGAACTTCTTCAAGGTCACTACAAGCGACGATCCTGTCATCAGGCGCCTGGCGAAGGAAGACAAAGCCACTGTCTTTGCCACCGATGCTATTCTCGCGGCTCTGATGTGTGCTCCTCGATCAGTTTACTCTTGGGATATCGTCATCCAGCGCGTTGGGAACAAGTTGTTCTTCGACAAGAGAGATGGGTCGCAGCTTGATCTGTTGTCTGTACACGAAACATCACAGGAGCCCTTGCCTGAAGCCAAAGATGATATAAATTCTGCTTATTCTTTGGGTGTGGAGGCTGCGTATATCAACCAGAACTTTTCACAGCAGGTTCTGGCGAGGGATGGGAATAAGGTAACGTTTGAGGAGCCGAACCCATTTGCGAATGAAGGTGAAGAGATTGCTTCTGTTGCTTATAGGTATAGGAGATGGAAGCTTGATGATGATATGTATCTTGTTGCAAGGTGTGAGTTACAGAGCGTTGTTGAGGCCAACAACCAGAGACAATTGCTTACTCTGAATGCTCTTAATGAGTTTGATCCGAAATATTCTGGCATTGATTGGAGGCAGAAGCTTGATACTCAGAGAGGCGCAGTCTTGGCTACCGAGTTGAAGAACAACGCCAATAAGTTGGCTAAATGGACTGCACAAGCTCTCTTAGCCAATGCGGATATGATGAAGATTGGCTTTGTTTCGAGGGTTCATCCTCGTGATCATTTTAACCATGTAATTTTGACCGTTCTGGGGTATAAGCCGAGAGACTTTGCTGCTCAGATCAATCTGAACACTTCTAACATGTGGGGTATTGTGAAATCTCTCGTTGATCTGTGCATGAAGCTTAATGAAGGGAAGTATGTTTTGGTTAAGGATCCATCAAAGCCTCAAGTGAGGATCTACGAGGTTCCACCTGATGCTTTTGAGAATGATTATGTGGAAGAGGCGATCCCTGAGGAAGAACAGATACAGCCACCCGAGGAGAATGCTGAGGCAGATGGAGCTTCTACTAATGAATCCGAGGATAAGAAGGCCGATACTCAAGCCTGATGGTAATGTGAAGTTTTCTTGTGCGAGCCACTCTCTTCAGTTGAAAAGTTGTCAACTTTCTTGTTAAGAACTTGTGGAATTAGTGCAAATGCAAGTTTGGGTTTTGCGATAATTGTCTTGTATCTTGCGACATTATCAATTGCAGGATATGGACTTGCGAGATTCTAAAACTCCTTGAAATGATGTGTATAAATGTTATATATATATGTCAGATATAGGATATGTGCATATACATAAAAGTGATATATACATGCAAATTAAGCTAAATACAGATGTAGGCGAATTGCCATTATGAAATGTCAAAGACATAATCTCATGCATACCACATTTACCCAAAGGCCCAATGTCTTCCCAACAAAAAATAATAATAATCCAAGAGGGCATATTCCAATTATGGGCATAGAGATTTTACTAAAAATAGGGTTTTCAATTGACAAAAGTGAAAAACAACCAAGGTTTTTTTTATTGGGGTAAAAAGAAAAAACAACTTAGTTACCGTAACCGTATTGAGCAATTTTTTTTTTTTTGATGAAACGTATTGAGCATATTCACTTGCGTTTGTACATTTATATCGAAAATAACTGCACCAACCATTAAAAAACAACAAACCAACAAAAAAAAAACTCGTTTTAAAAGAAGGCCGATTCCAAGCGTACGTAGAAACAGAAACGAAAGGAAAAACGAAAATGAAAATGAACAAAGAAACTCTTCTTCTCTGTGTTGCGTCTCTCTTCCTCATCTCTTCATCTCTCTTCTACAATGTTTGTCTCGCTACTATTGATAATGCCGAAGTTGGTACGTTTAATTAATATATGACATCCACGAATCAATATCATTTTCTTGGATACTTGAATATATATATATATATATATATATAGGCTATAATGACGCGTTGTATATGTGCGAATGCAGAGGACGAGTCGCCTTTTACGTATGAACTAGGAAGTGAGAACCAACCATTAAAAAACAACAAACCAACAAAAAAAAAACTCGTTTTAAAAGAAGGCCGATTCCAAGCGTACGTAGAAACAGAAACGAAAGGAAAAACGAAAATGAAAATGAACAAAGAAACTCTTCTTCTCTGTGTTGCGTCTCTCTTCCTCATCTCTTCATCTCTCTTCTACAATGTTTGTCTCGCTACTATTGATAATGCCGAAGTTGGTACGTTTAATTAATATATGACATCCACGAATCAATATCATTTTCTTGGATACTTGAATATATATATATATATATATATATAGGCTATAATGACGCGTTGTATATGTGCGAATGCAGAGGACGAGTCGCCTTTTACGTATGAACTAGGAAGTGAGAAAGGGCCGGAGAAATGGGGCAACATCAATCCTCAATGGGAAGTATGCCAAACCGGAAAATTCCAATCTCCCATCGATCTCACCAGCTCAAGGGTTAGCGTTCTTCGCCAGGACGATCTCTGGTTGAGAAGTTACAAGCCGGCTATCGGTGTGATTAAAAACCGAGGCCACGACATCATGGTACGTAATTTGATCAAACCCGTTACTTAATTCAAATGTTCATTCGGTGTATATATATATATATACGCACACATACGTACACATGGGGATGATACGTTTTATGGATGTTGGTTGATTTAGCTTTCGTGGAAAGAAGATGTCGGAAAAATCACCATAAACGGTTCCGACTATAAATTGGTGCAATGCCATTGGCATTCGCCTTCCGAGCATACCGTGAACGGAACTAGGTAACGTTTCATGCATGCATGCAAATTCATGCAGATTTCGATCCAAAACAATTAAAAAAAAGGGGTTCGTATCTTTAATCAACGTGTGATTTTATATTAGATTCGTGATGGAGCTTCACATGGTTCATACTAATCCTCAAGGGAAAATAGCCGTGATTGGAGTTCTTTACAGATTCGGCGTACCAGATCCATTTCTTTCGAGGGTAATTAATTAATATCTTTGTATTAATTAATTATCATATTGTTCTATTTATATATATGTATGTATGTTATTGGTTATTGCAGCTATTAAATGGAATAAGGTCGGTTGATAAGGAAGAGATCAATATGGGGATCGTGGATCCGAGGCACATTAGGTATCTTTCGAGAAAATTCTACAGATACGTTGGGTCTCTTACGGTCCCTCCATGCACGGAAGGCGTCATTTGGACCGTCGTCAAGAGGGTATGCGCTTTTTTATTTTCCTGTTGTTAATTATTAAATTAATTAATTAATTTCTGCATGATTCTGTCTAATATATATCCGCATGAAAATTCAAATTCCCATGTCGCTTTTGGTAACTTTGCAGGTAAACACAGTGTCTCCGGCGCAAGTTAGGGCTCTTAGGGAAGCAGTTCACGATGTAAGTCCACTCTTCCTATCGAAATGTCAATTTCAAATAACAAATACGCAATTACATTAATTAGAAAATGACAAAAAATCCAACCATTTGAACGTTACAAAAAAAATGTGATTCCTCAGAGATAATTTCCAAATGTTAGACCGTCATTAATTTCTAAACCTCGACAAAAAGTTAACTCTTTCATCCCAAATTGGATGATTCTTTTCTATATAAAAAAAAAATTGGATGTTTCAACTACTAAAAAAAATGGAACAAAATTCATTCTCAAACCCACCTTCGAATCTGCATTTTGGAGATAGAATTTATTTGAGAGATGTAATTGGATCGAATGTTCAACAAATTTTTTATTATAAAAAAAAGTTTACTCTTACTTTTTTTAGCCTTTTCTAATTTGTATATTGATTAGGAGAAATTGAATAGGAACAATTTTTTTTTTTAAATTAGAACTTGCTAAAAACTTTGGATTTTCATTGATGAATAGGGATTTGAGACAAATGCAAGACCCATCCAACATCAACAAGGAAGACCCTTACGGTACTACGAGCCATATCCAGAGCAATAACCGCCAATTTTTTTTTTATTAAAAAAATCGTACGGAGAGTATGAAAAAAGAAAATGAAGAGATTGTATACTCGATTAAGACGCACCAAATTTACGCAGTTGTATTTTGTGTATTTAAACAGTGGAATGAATGATAGATATAAGCATTTTGATTTTCTTATATTATACATGGTGTGTACATATCTATGATATAATAACCAAACAACCTGGAAACAAGGAAGAAGACAATTAATATTTTTCTTTTCACGTGAAATGCCATTTATAACATGTAATATACAACCATATATATAATATACCCTCTAGGTTTGAGTGGCCTAGTTGTAAGAGAATATGCATGCTCTCGTTCTGAATTCAAATCTAAACGTGGAAAAAGTATATTCATCTGAGCTTCCCGGTCATCTGGGTACGGTAAAGTTCCGGATTATCAATATATATATATATATAGTGTACAATCAGATATAAATGCTAGGAATTCCGTTAAAATAATGTAACGTTACGCAGATGCAAGATCAACAAAAGACGGTGCGCAAAATTAAATGTGTTATAAAAAAAACGCCAACAAAATTAAATTCAGCAGTTTTCAGTGTTTAAACGCAAACGCATATCCCTTATATAACAAGCTGTAGGGCAACCCCCCTCTGGCCTCCCTATAAATAGTACCTTAACTTTAGGCCACTTCATCCTCTCTCTCTCTCTCTCTCTCTCTCTCTCTCTCTCTCTGAGAAACAAATTAAACACGATGGATTTGGCAGCCAAGTGTCTTGCTATTGCAGTGGTTCTGCAAATCGCGATATCGAGCAATGGAGTGATGGGCGTTGAGCCGTCGGAGACGAAGATGAGTCGGAGCCTCGTAGCGGTGCAAGGCGTCGTCTATTGCAAATCTTGCAAGTATGCCGGCGTCGACACTCTCTTGGACGCCTCTCCTCTTCAGGGTCCGTCTTCTTCCCTCCACTCCTCTCTCTCTTTTCGTTTTTACAGTAATCTTGCCATTCACATGCGCGCATGCATTCACATATACGAATTAGTCACACACACACACACACACATATATATATATATATATGTGTCCCATAAGTATTAAAGATAGTGGACTGAGTATTTTCACAACTTCCCACATGAACAAAAATGAGATCTATTGGGTTTTTTCTTCTGCTCTCACACATGCACATGCAACGAGGGCAATGTGCCACTTGGCTTTTTAACAAGGCACGCGTGTTGCCATGCATGCAATGTACTTTTCCCCTCAACCTTTTTTTTCTTCGTTTTCTGGTAACGCTTCAACCTTTTCTTTTGTGGCCTGGCCTTCATTTCACATAAATTCTATATATGTAAGCGTTATTTTTCGAAAAGAAAAAGTTTGATTCGGGCATTTCCCCATCTTGCATGTTCATATATGACTCGATTCCCTCTTGATCCAATGCATCAAAGAAAGAAAATTAAACACCTCAAAACGTGCGCTTCGTTAGAAATCATCTGGATTTAGGTCTAGAACTCGATTCTTGTAGATTGAAAAAAGAAACATACTTTCTGTAGTTAAGTAACCATCACTCAGATCAAAGACGGGTCTATATTTGGCAGGTGCGACAGTGGGGCTAGCGTGCAACAACACGGAGAAAGGGCTAACAATGGAGTCGAAAACGGACAAGAACGGATACTTCCTTATGCTCGTCCCGAAGAAGATAACGTCGTACGCATTCCACAAGTGCCGAGCCACGCTTGTAAAGTCGGCGGAGAATTCATGCAAGATTCCGTCGCAGCTCAACAACGGCACCACCGGAGGATTCCTCAGGCCGTCACAGCCCATCACCGTCGGAAAGGTCTCCTACGTTCTTTACACCGTCGGACCCTTCGCCTTCGACCCTTCCTGCCCTCGTTGATCTTTCCTTTTTTTCTTACCCCTTTCTTAATTCGGTTCATGACCCAAGCTTTCGATATATTCCTGTTATGGTTTGGATTTGAGTTTGATGAGTAGTGAGCTTTTGTCATGTTCTTCAATCGTTTGAGCATTTGACTTCGTTTCTATGGGGTTTTGTTTCATTTTAGTATGGATTATGGTCCGAGTGATCTGTGGACATTATATGAATTTTTCAACATTTCTCACTGTCATGCACAACACGTATAAAGCCACATATAAATTAGACATATATATAGGGAAATGATTATTAAAAAGGGACAGCACGATATATATATATATATATATATATTCTATTTGTTTCTCAATAATTTACATATATTTTTAAAAACTATAAAAAGTTATTAAAATTTTCTTATTAATATTCTATTATATCTATTGAAGTTGGGTGATATTCTATTAAAATTAAGTGACTGTGGATAAAATAAAAATTTTCTTACAAAATCACCTAAAAATTTTAAAACGATATCTTTAAATAACAAAAATTATTCTGTAAAAATTACAGAATCGTTTCTACACGATTGGATCGATGGATCACGAGATGTTAATTTCGGTGCAATTTGTATGGACGAGTAAATGGAGACCTAGATTGTTCAAAACGACGCTGTTTCAGAGGTGGACACGAACCGTCAAGGTAACGCTTTCACATGTCGAACACATGTCGCAAATCCCACACGTGTCCATCTTTCACGCCTCCACCTCCTCGATCGCTGTCCTCTTATTACGAAACTATAAACCGTCAACAGAGACATACATAAGCAGAAGCAAAACAACACAGAAGGAGGAGGAATTCTGAAAGAGAGGAAATTAAAGAAGGAAGAAAATGGCAGGGATGCAACTGGCAAGAACGGCGGTGATGAGCGTGTCGAGGGTTTTCCCGAGAGGCAAAGCTCCGCCGCCGTCTCTCGGAACAGATACAGCCACCCGAGGAGAATGCTGAGGCAGATGGAGCTTCTACTAATGAATCCGAGGATAAGAAGGCCGATACTCAAGCCTGATGGTAATGTGAAGTTTTCTTGTGCGAGCCACTCTCTTCAGTTGAAAAGTTGTCAACTTTCTTGTTAAGAACTTGTGGAATTAGTGCAAATGCAAGTTTGGGTTTTGCGATAATTGTCTTGTATCTTGCGACATTATCAATTGCAGGATATGGACTTGCGAGATTCTAAAACTCCTTGAAATGATGTGTATAAATGTTATATATATATGTCAGATATAGGATATGTGCATATACATAAAAGTGATATATACATGCAAATTAAGCTAAATACAGATGTAGGCGAATTGCCATTATGAAATGTCAAAGACATAATCTCATGCATACCACGCAGAGTCTCCTCGCGTGTTTGCTTCGCCTCCTCCGTTAGCCGTCCTGAGGCATATTCTGTATCTCACTTTGCACATATATGTATATGTACATATATATGTATGTAACGTTATTGTGACACAATTCAGGGGAGAGATCCAGTGGAAAAGGCTGGAGATTCAAGGGCCGATTTGGCTTACGAGTCCAAGAACTGGAGGGACGACGACAAGGCCAGAGGAAGCATCAGAGACCCGAGCGAGTACGCTCAAGCGGCCAAGGACAAGACCAGAGAAGGAGCGAGCAAGGCTGCAGATAGAGCATATGAAGCCAAAGACAAAGCAGGAGAGAAACTGGGTGAAGCGAAAGACAAGGGCAAGGATTACGCTGAACGGACAAAAGAAAAAGCCGATGACACCGCTTACAAAGCAGCCGACAAAGCAAAACACGTGAGAGATAGAGCCAAAGATTATGCAGAGGACACCATGGACAAGGCTAAGGTAAAGGCCAAGGAAGGGAAGGACAGAGCAGAAGACATGAGAGATAGAGCCAAAGATTATGCAGAGGACACAATGGACAAGGTTAAGGTGAAGGCAAAGGAAGGAAAGGAGAGAGCAGAAGACATGAGAGAAAGAGCCAAAGATTGTGCAGAGGACACCATGGACAAGACTAAGGTGAAGGCCAAGGAAGGGAAGGAGAGGGCAGAAGACATGGCTCATGGGTTTAAGGAGACAGTGAAGGATAAGGCTCAGGACGTTGGGGAGAAGACGAAGGAGACAGTGAAGGAGGCTTGGGAGACGGCCAAGAACACTGCCCAGAGGGTGACTGAAGCGGTGGTCGGACCGGACGATAACGAAGATGCAGATAAGGTCGTGGAAGATTTGACCAAGAAGGAACGGAAAGACAAGAAGTTCTGAATTTCGCTGATATCAATAGACAAATGTTAAATTTTCTGTGTTTTGTTTTTGTTTCTGTTCAATGCTTTATGCTGTAATAACCTTACAATAAGCCTTTATGCTTCAACTCTGAGAAGCATGAGTTATGGTACCATACAAAACTAATACATTACCCAATGATCCATTCCTGATTTGATGTACTGACTCACAATTTCGAGCACAAAGAACGTTACCAAAGAACAAGAAAACGCTTCAAAAATGTAGCTAACGCTTTCTACATTCAAAGCAAAAATTGTTCCGACACATTTCGTGAACTTATTATAACGTTGTAAAAGTGTTACCTTAACGCGCAAGGAAACTGGTCTTTGACGCCTCTTCTTCTTGGTTTGGTGTTGTCTTGCTCCGTTTTCCTTTTGTTTCTCCCGCAACATGTTTTTTGTTTCTTGTATTATCTCTTGGTTCTGAGGGCTTTTTGATACCGTATCTCACCATTTATAATTTGTTAATTCTAAATAATATATAGACGTGTTTGTTTTTCTGTTTTTAATAATCATGAGGTTCATTAGGCTTTCGGATCATTTAATTCTTTGAGTTTGGAGTCAGTTTTTAATCACATAATTAATTGCGTTCTCCTCCTCACTAGTAAAATCGAATTCAATCACATAATTAATTGCGTTCTCCTCCTCACTAGTAAAATCGAATTCAGAAACTTGAAATGACTTTATCACATTTCAATCTATAGAACACGTATTTGTTGTAAATAAATTTTAAATTTATATAATTTGCATTAGTTTGGCAATTTTGGATTCTATGACTGGGCACGCGGAATAGTTTTTGTTGTAGAAAGAGAAGATCACGTCTGTACATTGCACGTGAAGAACACAAAATTGTACACTGTAATGTTCCATGGCTGACCTGCCTGTTTGGACTACGGTTTCGACCCCATAAAATATAACTCAAGCTCATCAAATCACTTGAAACATGTAACTGACGTTTCCTAGTTTTCAATCAAAATAAATTTCAAAATATTTCTCTACAGAAAAACAATATACGTTGCTTTCGTGTCATCTAAGAAACGGATTCTCCTGAGTTGGTCTTGCTCTGTTTTTTTTGTTCTTCTTGAAAATATTAAAATCTGCAGTTTGAGATTCTTATCTTTCCCTTCCGCTTAAGGGTTGCTTTTCATTTGAATTTTCTGAATCTCTAAGAGACTTAGACTCGTATTCAATATCCAAAAAAAACTTCAATCTCCATTTCTACAACTTACTTGGAAATTTCTTTTTTTATTTATAAGGAATTTCTTCAAACGAGATCTTCAATATCAATGGATCTTAACTTTGTTTGCACCAATCAAATCCTATTTCTTCGTTCTTGCAGCTCTCTTTGTTCAAAATATTATGTTAATATATATATATACCTTTTAAGATGTTCGGTACTAGAAGTTTAACTGCTAATACACGCGCTTACGAGCGCGTACGTATACACACGCTATCCGTGAATAAATGTACAAAATCTGCCTTACTTGATACTTTTACCCTATATGGCCATCAAAATCTCATTGTGGGTGGATTTTGTTTTGACATGTGGTGTACTCAGTTCTTGACTTGGTTTTCCGATTCTTGATGGTTTCAGTTTTCAGTTTTAGCAGAGAGAAGGAGAGAGCGGCCTCGGTTTTGCAAAGGCTATAACATCTCCGCAGCCTGTGGTTTTGGCTTCGAAAGAGGTTTTCGGGATTCTATGAGCAAGGCATATATAGACACGTTTCACTCTTCCTCTCCTCCTTATAACCTCGACCTCGACGCTCTCTCCCTCACCTTTCATGAACCAAAACCCCTCAAGAGAGAATAGAGCAGTTCCTGAGAAAAGATGGATCGACAAGACAAAGCATCCAACGATGTTCAAGAAGAACAGAATTCCGTGCAGCAGCAGCAGCCGCCACCCCCGAGAAAATGCCCGAGGTGCAACTCAGACAACACCAAATTCTGTTATTACAACAACTACTGCATGTCGCAGCCCCGTTACTTCTGCAAGGCCTGTCGAAGGTACTGGACACATGGAGGTATCCTAAGGAACATTCCCGTCGGTAGCAGTTCTCGTAAGAGCAAGCGTTCTAAGAAGGGCTCTTCTTCTTCTTCTTCTTCTTCTTCACCTTCTTCTTCGTCTTCTCCTTCTTTATCTAAGTCCTCCTCCTCACCATCTCTGAATTCTCAGTCACCTTCCATTCAGACAAAACAAGTTCAGTCTGTCACTGTTCCTGTCTTACAAATCCAAGAAACCGGTTTACTTGGTGGGAGTCCTCTCTCTTCTTTAACCCTAAACCGTTATCAGACGCCGAGTTACACCAACGATTTGGTAACAGCTCTGCCTTCTTTTCAAGGTTTTAATCAAATGGGTGCTTATGATCCATCTGATATGTGTCTTTTCCGAGATAACATTTGCGTTGGTTTCAATCCATCTTTTCATGCTCATGACGCTCGACAATTTTACCATAAGGGCCCTGCCGATAATCTAACCTACCTATCAAGAGGAACCGCTGTTTCTGATGCTGCATTCATCGGTCAAGACCAAACCAGATGGAACCGGAACTTGGTCAACAGCATGAACACTTGTCCTGGCACTAGCAGCGGAAGTCCAAACACTAACATGAACAACTGCCCGGTTAGAACTCCATATGTGAATCAGGACCAGTGGTTTGGTCATCAGAATTATGGTCCGCGACCATAAGCGTATGGGTCCATGGTGGTTTGTTCTATATATATATGGCTCATTTCAATATATATATATGTGGTTATCTTATTAGGAGCAATGCTTGTTAGTTTCTGGGTTCATTTTGTTTGTCGGAGTTATTGAATGAGCGGTCTGTGTTTTTCAATTTACATTTTGATATTGTGGTTTTAATTGCATTATGTGTCCCTTTAGCTCTCTCTCTCTATATATATATGTAAGGTTAGTAGCTGTATATATGGAGAATTTTTATATGCATTAATAAAATTTCCTTAGCTTTGCTCCAAAATTAACAACTCTCTCTCTCTCTCTAGAATACGAGCATGTTCAATGTTGGTTATGAAAATTTTTAGAGACCTAAACAATCATCTAGGTTGACCCCCCGCAGATTCGGACAAATCTGTTGAGAGACATACCAGGATCTGATTGTGAGGACCCCACACAACCCTCATGACCAGTTCCCTCTCCATCCGTACCTTGATTCCTCCACGTGTCGAAAAGCGGATCAGCAGTGACATAATCGAACCGGTTGGTAAATCGGATTTAATGGTTTAGTTCGGTTAAAATCTAAAATTTTGATGTACCACTTAATAAACCGAATCTAATCAAACCGAAATCCAATCAAGGAAAGCGTGTAAGTAGATATTTTTAGTAATATCTGAGGCAGTCAAGACATGCATTTAAATGGAGAAACGAAGCCAATAGAGAATCTCGAGGGAATTAATATCCTGTGGGAAGTTGAACCAGGAAAGAAGAATGGTGCTATTAGAGAAACTGTGGGACGACGTTGTGGCCGGTCCGCAACCGGCTCGAGGCCTTGGCAAGCTTAGAAAGATCTCGACCGACCTGTCCTCGGATGCCAAAAGTACGTTATCGTCTTTGGTTTGGTTTTGATTCGGATATATAATTGCGTGTGTGTGTGTATATTTATATATAGAAGGAGGATCGTCGGGATTGGCAACGATACCCGGGAGTCCGGCGACGCCAACGACGCCTATGTCACCGGGATCGGGGAGAGCAAAGGACAACGTGTGGAGAAGTGTGTTTAACCCGGGGAGTAACCTTAACACTAAGAGCATTGGCAATGCTGTCTTTGACAAGCCCACCCATTCCAATTCCCCCACTGTCTACGACTGGTATCTCACTTATCTCTCTCTCTCTCTCTCTCTCTCTCTACATATATATACACATGTATATTAGGGTTTCGAACCGAGTTTTTCAAATCTTAAAGAGTCGGATCTTAAGCAAGGGCCTGTGTTTGAATTAGTAAAAGACGGTTACTTATAGTTATTTGGTTCGTTTTCCTATTCATATATATATATATACACTTAGATCGGTTCGGATTTTTTTTCCGAGTTTTTTCTTGGATTAGGGTTTGGTATGATTTCTTCCTGCTTTATTGAATATTTTTTCTTGTTATAGGATGAAATTAATTATTAAAGTTTTTAACCGAACTTTGACGCAGGCTCTACAGTGGCGGGAGCAGAAGCCAACACCGTTAATGGGAGAGGACGATGACACAGAGGTTGTCTCATCCTTTGGACGGTCTAATAAAACACGACTTGGTTTCATCCATTAACTAATCACTTCACGAGATTCTATTTCTGACTTTCGATTAAATAAGTAAACATACCACGCAGAACAAAATGGTATATCTTTTACATTTGATTGTCAAATGTAATAATAATCTTTGCAGTATTTGGATATTATATTTGAACCGTATCTATCTATTCTGCCGAGAAATGATATGTTCATCGAATCGAGGGAAAATTCATGATGGTTCTATCAGATTCCGAAGAGCCGGGATGAGCATGTATGGATCATAAACATCTTATCCAAATGGGAAATATAAAATATCATAGCTGACACGTGGCAAATAATAATTTGTTATAACCGGTTTGGCCCGGAAAAAGCTAGATTTTGTCTGTTGTTGAACCCCGACAAAGACCATATCCGTTAACGAAGACCGTATTGAATAGACATAACGAACGTGGCTTGTCGCGTGCGGAGAAGAATCCGAAGAACCTTATGAAAACGGACCGTTTCTAAGAAAATTCAAAACCTTCACATCTATATAATAAAGATAGCATTTACGTTATTTTATAATTCATATACATCTCATAAATGGTATTATATAGTAAAAAACTATGTAACAATAAAAAAAACTATACAAAAAAGGTCACGTATACAAGAGTTTACGCCATTCTAATTCGTGTCGAAATTCATTGCGAGAGTCTTACAAAAAGCCGAATTACATTTATTCAGTTAAGCAAGTTGTTCTCACATGTCGGTCCATTTTAATATTATTCCTCCTTATCGGTAGCGTACTTTCAGACAAAAGCCATGCAATTAATGGCAAAAGTTTCCCGACGGCACAAAACGTCGAAACAGACATGCCCTGTCTCCGACGGCAATCCGAATCTTCGAGCTTCGATCCCCAAAACCCACCTCTATAAATAACACATTTCATGAACTCAGTCTCTCAATCTATCATTATTCTCCACACTTTTGAAAATTTCAGGTTAAAGCTGACTTGAAGAGCAAGAAACAAGAACGGAGAGATGGCCACTTCGAGACTTGCTAGGTTCGTGACGGAGGTTGCTCCGCCGCAATTCGTCACCGTTATGAGGCGGAGAACCGCGAAAATGCTGGAAACGATCAAAGAAGAGGAGAAGGAAGAATCTTTCGGGATGATCTCTTCGACGATTAAGAAGACATCGACTCATGTTTCTGCTGGTTCTGGTTCTGGTTCTAAGTACTTTTTGAAAGAGATTCGGAGCTCGTTCTCCGTCTTCGACAACTGATTTCTTGTACTGATATCGGGTTGATATGTATATCTTTTTTTTTTTTTTTTTTTTTTTCTTT